TGCTGTGTTCATCCAGCCCTGCACCTTGTTGTCTCGGATTCTCCAGCATCTGCAGTTCCTACTATCTTTGGTTTGAGCATTAGCCTGATGTGACAGTCACAGCTGAAAAGTTATCCATCTCGTCTAATCTTTGAATGCTGCCAATCAACTAACAGGACAAAGGAAACTCTCATCCTAAATGCTGGGTCTTAATCACAGTTGAAAGATCAAGCTACAGAATCTCAACCAGTCTGCAAAACTAAAAACTGGAGGCTAACTATTCACCTGCGATCATCAGTGCTACTAGTAATCTTTGGACATGCGCTGTTGCAAATGCTTCTCACATTCAGTAATTGTAGGGGTGACCCGTACCTGTCCATACAAGGTGACCTGTAACCGCTTACATCCATGTTTAAAAGACTAAACAAAATGGGGCAGCCCGCTCTAACATTTAAAGTGAAACATAATAGTATCTTGGAACAGAGCTACCCAAGGTCATACAAAGGCCCTGTAACTCATCATGCGAGAGAGTTTTAATAAGAGGATACCTAAGAACAGACAAATGACTGTAGTCTCATTAATGAAAGGATGTTATCCCACTAAAGACACAGAAATAGGGGTGTAAATCTTAGCTCGTGATCTCATCAGATTACCTCCCTAACCAGCTGCAAAGAAAAACACAGCTAAAGATATTTTGTGGTAACTAGCTTTTTACCTACAGTATTAAAAAACAGCCTCTCTGGTTAAAGAATATTCAGATTATCACAGAAGTAAGTTTTAGAATATAATTGGGGCGGCACGGTGGCTCAGTGGTTAGCACTGCTGCCTCACAGCACCAGGGATCTGGGTTCGATTCTACCATTGAGCGACTGTCTGTGTGGAGTTTGCACATTCTTCCCGTGTCTGCGTGGTTCCTCCGGGTGCTCCGGTTTCCTCCCACACGCCAAAGATGAGCAGGCTAGGTGAATTGGCCATGCTAAATTGCCCGTAGTGTTCAGGAATGTGTAGATTAGGTGGGTTAGAGGGCTAGGTGGGATGTTCTGAGGGTCAGTGTGGACTTGTTGGGCCGAAGGGTCTGTTTCCACACTGTAGGAATTCTATGATTCTATGATTTAATACAAGCAGTAGGGGAAAAAACATTTAAACCCAGAAGCCAAAACTAATTAGCTTTAGGACACGGTTTAGCTTATGCCCTGAACAAGATAGATTGGTCCAACTCATTAGGTACAAAGTGCTAGCAGTAAAAGTAACTGTATAAAAACTTTGCACTTTATAACTAACCTCAACAAGAATTAATCATGTAGCAATTAGTTGAAAGTAACTGTCTTTGGTTTTTTCCTTTAACATATATTCAGGATGGTGGGAAATATAAAAGGAATGATTAAATTTGATAAAGGCAACACACATAATATGAATAACAGAATTCAAACGGCCCTTAGAGATAAAGTCTCGGACAGACCAGGAGGACTATAACTAATAACTTTTGGAATGCGATTTAATAGGATGCATAGAATGATGCCAAGGCCCAGCAATTACAATGACTAGTAAACATCATGAGATCGTGAGAACCTAGGGCTGTGCTTAGGAATGCGCACCATTGATTAGGTGTCCCATGGGATTGGGTGTTTGGATTATGGGGAAGGACATTGATGACGTTGTACTTGATTACTGTAACACAAAAAGAAGTGTATAAAATGCTGCACTTTGTAAAATCAGGTGTGTCATTGACCTCCCTTCCTATTTGGGGAAGATTCTTTGGCCCTGTCTCTGCATCAACAGGTTTCCGTTTGAATAAACATCTTCCACTTGCCTAAATCCTACATGCCTCCTGAGTTTTTGTTGCCAGTCGGAGAATACACTCCTACTACAGTAATCAAAAAACTCATCCTATTAATTCAAGAGAGCCTGGTAAAACTGCCTCCTTTTAAAACAGGAAAAAGGATTAGAGAAAGATATTCACAACTGAAAGGCTCCCTTTTAAATCAAACTTTGTGCAATCAACCAGGTCACAAAGCAGAGGGTGTCAATTTATCCCTCCTCACCCAGGAAAGTGCCACCTAATAGAGGCAGAAAATAAGTCTACCTTAAGTGCAGGCTTGTTAGTACAGAAATGGTACCATCAAAAATTCCATACCCTCACGGACTAACCAGACATACCTGAAATTCGAAAGACTTAAACAGGTTGCATTCCACCAAGTGCACTTCAGACTGAAGCCACATATGAAAGACTGAAATAATTCCCCTTGAAAAGGTTGAAAATTCTATTTCCCTCCCAATTAGAATAAGCTTCAAGAAACAGTATATGGCTGAATCAAAACAGCCAGCCACATTGGCTAACGATTCTGCACTGATCCACATATGCCAGTTCAAGAAGAAACAAGTCCCTAGTCACCCCTACAAGGAAGGTGGGGGAGGGAATAATAGCAGGAAAGTGGTAGGAAAGTGAATATCCATGGGAAATACAGAAACACCAGGAGGCCTCTTTAGGGCAAAATGAGTAGTAGTACCGAGATGAAAGATGAGGCCAAGCTGGGCCAACTACTGGAGGCTCGGAAAAAAACACAATTAGATTTAATCAGGGCTTATACACACTGAATGACAGCCAGAGCATAGCAGACCAGGTTATGGCTCTGACTGCAGCTGCAAATCCTGTAAAGATTCAGCTAATTGCATGGATAAGGTTAGTCAAATCTGAGATTTACTACGATTTTATGTCTTAAGGACTGGTGGCACATTTCCCAAGGATAAAGTGAGCAGGACTGTGGTGGTAGAGGGGCACTGGGACCAGCCAAATTCTACAGCTAGGTATCTTCCCACCAGAGAATGCAGCAAGCACCAAGATTATGGTAAAAGGTATTGAAGGACAGT